AGAAGAAAGATTTAACACAAAGCAAGAAAGTATGAGATGAGTCTAATAAAAAAGGTATTGGGTGAAGCACATGCTTATTATTCCAAACCTTTTAACAAAAGATCATTTAGCAAGCAGCTCATTTACACAGGGTTTGAAGCAAAGGAGCAAAAAAACAAACACTTCCATCTTAGATAAGTAAATACATTAAATTAAATTTCATAAGAACAGTCCAAGAAAAACAACCAAGAGTTTCAGTATTGTCATTTTAACTCTTCTTCATTCTTGATTTATATATTTTTCTAATGCTCCAGTTTTTAACATTTTTAAACGAGGAAAATGAGCTACATCTTTTTAAATTACTGTCATAACTATTCAACAAGTTAACTTCTCTGCTTTATGTTTGTTTTTATCTTGTTTTCTTTTTTAAATCTGTTCCCCTCAAATCATATCGACTCTCTCTGACTTCAAACAGCTTCTGAGCACTGCAGCAAATCATTTTATTTTGTTTTTTGTACATTATCTGTGCCATTTTATATTCAACTAAATCATAAAATTTCAGGGTATTCAAATTAAAAACATCAAATGTAGGTTAGTTCTATATAGTTCGATTGATTTATAATTCTTAAAGCTGTTTTTTTTTTGTAGCTTTAACATAGGAAGGGTATTGGTTTTATGCATTACCACATATCTCTAGACAATAAGTCATATATGGAAGCAACAGAGAACCATAAAGTGTGTATAATGATTTCTTGTTCAGGACATCCTTTAATTTGTAGAGAATAGCAACAGTTGTTGACATTTTTGTTTTCACATGACGATTTCACATGGTTTATATGAGACTTCTAACTGAGTCTAAAAAACAACAACAACAAAGTTATGAATTTAGTCAATATCGAGGTTTAGAATTAACATTTTTTAAAAGGAACTTTAAACTTGATACTACTCTGTCCAACTACAAAGGGGGAAAGCAAGTGTAAAAAGCACAGAGATGACTTCAAAGTTCAAAGGTAACTGATGATCTTCTAGTATGCCTGGGTTTTCAATTTTATATATTTTATATTATTTTATAACATGAAAATATACACAAAAGGTGAACAGTGATTAAAAGTAAACGAGCTAGACCAGGCATGGGCAAACTACGGCCCGGGGGCCACATGCGGCCCGTTAAACGTTTTGATCCGGCCCGCCAAACTTGAAAAAAATTTAATAAATTAACCTTGTTAATGTTTTATTTCCCCTGCAATTCTGATGTTTCCTCGCTAGATGGCGCACTCTAGATATATTGGCTTTGTTGAGGTGAAGCGTAGGCCTATTACTCCATGTTTGCACTTTACCCTGTGACCCACCGCCCTTCTATGAAGATGAGCGGACCCAAGAAAAGGAAAGTGGACAGAGAATGTCGAGTGTTCAATAAGGAGTGGACAACTAAATATGAACACCGATTATCTGCTGTTTGCCTGATATGCCAAGAAACCATGGCAGTTTTTAAAGAGTATAATATTAGCCGTCACTTTGCCACAAAGCAAGCTAATTATGCTAGCAAGCTCTCACCAAAAGAACGGGAAGCTGCTGCTGAGAAGTTGGCAGCTAATTTGAAGGCTCAGCAAAGTTTTTTTCACCGTCAAACTGCCATTCAAGAGTCAAGTACCAAGGCCAGTATTATGCTCTCATTCAAAATAGCAAAGGCCAGCAAACCACTGTCAGAGGACGAGTTTTCAAAAGAATGTATGGTAGAGACAGCAGGTATTTTGTGCCCGGAGACCAAAGACAAATTTGAGAAAATCAGTTTATCACGGCGGACAGTGACTCACCGTGTAGAACTAATAGATGAAGATATCACCAACATATTAAACAAAAAGGCGAAGTCATTCACTTTTTATCGCCACAACAAAACTAACTCCAGACTTTGATGCGCTGGCTAAAAAAGGAGACCAACAACACTGCTCCCATTAAAATGGGTGTGTCTCCGTGATACGCACGTTGTTAAAATGAACAGTGCGCGCAGATCAAATATAACGCTTCACAGACTGACTTGCTGCAACTGTTTCGTTCTTGCACTGGTCGTTGTTGACTTTTGGCACCGGGGAAACAAATTGAATAAAAGGAACAGGACAAGTACATCTGCATCTCCTACTGTTTTTG